TGCAGAAGGAGAGGCTGGGTAGAAGAAATTGTTAGCATTATGGTGATGATCATGGGCATTGCAGTCAGACATGCTCTCCAACATTGACTCTTTATTAGCTACGACCTTGGGCAGATTACTTAAGCTCCCTAAGTATTAAGATTTTTCATCTGTAAATGTGGATTGTAACAACTTTTTATGCAGGAGCAAATAATTTAACATATGTAAGGAACTTAGTACATAGTGCCATATATAGAGTGCATAATAATGACAGCTATTATGTTATTATTGAATATGAGACCATTGGACAGTTAACCAGATAGTTTATAGCCCTAGCTCTCTAACACTGGTTGAGTTTTTATTATTTAAATAACTAATAGTGATGTATCATATAAAGATATAATAAAAATTTCTACACGTGGAACTGAAAGAATATGTCAGATATTAAAACTAGTCATTTTACATTAACAGACTTCATTGAAGCCTTTCACAATAATGCTTTAAGATAATATTGTTCTAATTTTAAAAAGTTCTCAGAATAATTAACTTTCAGATCTTGTAGCTGAATAAGTTACATAAGTCCACTGAAATTCATGTTTACATGACTCAAAAGGTTATACCCTTAAACTGCATTCTGCTTTCGATTCCATTTAGTATTTTCATTAACACAGAAAACAAGCACATATGATAATTGCACACCATTTTCTCTGGTGAGAAAAAACAAAGGTCAATGATGCTGCATAACCTGTTCAATCGCATTTCATAAGTGGCCGAGCTGGAATCTGGTAAGGGGCAGAGGTCTTCAGATGAGGAATTTGTCCTTTTCTATTTCAACACAGGTGATTTATAATGTGTGATGGGGGGTGAAAAATCAAGCATCCCAAGTCAAATGACAAAAGGGAGTTGGAAAGAAGAAACAGGTGTATTAATGGAGAAGATAGTGCTCTCATAAATTTAAAGAAATTGCATTTAACTATTAGTTATTAAAAGCTTTCAGGAGCAAAGATTCTATTATGGCATTAGAGGCTTATCTGGAAAAATAAAACCCAGATGACATTCCACAGAATCTTTTTCATAAAGAAAAAAGGGAATCTGTTATTGCACTGAGCTGTTGCCATGGTTACCTAAACCCCTGCCTCTCTGCTGAATGTGACTTTTTTTCTTCCCACTATTTACTTCCATGTGATGGGCTTCTCACCTCATGAGTGAATTCCCTTGCCACATTTCACTCCCGTCTATCATCTTGGAAAAACTTATTTCCTCTTTGATTCATTATGACAGCTACCCCTCACCTACCTTTCCTTTTTCTGGCTAGTCTACCTGCTGCTTGTCTAACTTTGGATCTAATTGTGTTGAGCATAGATATTTGTATTAAGCACACCCCCATCTCCAAAAATAATGGACTGTCCTAACTGATGATAAACATGCTTGTACTTTATAGAAGCTCTTGGCAGTAAGCAAATAAATGAAAAACCATACCAAAAAAAGACATGAATTCTGAATATAAGAAAAACAGTTTTCTAAGAATCCTAACATTAACTAAATATCTGATTTTAATTATTTCATAGAAAACCCTATCAGTGAATATTATTAATCTCAATATTCAGATATGTTGTAACTTGTTTGATCTTCTCTATTGAATGCTCTCTTTTTTGCATGCATGTACACACATACATATGGAATCCCAGGGAGAACTATACAGAATGTTTTATTCTAGACTTTGAATTTAGTTGCTGTTCATTTTGCATTGTTGTCTCCTTGGCCTTGGGGATTCAGTGCTGCAAAGAAGTACAGTCTAAGGTTCTAGAAATCCAGCCATGCAGAGTTCAATTTTTAATGTATTAGAGCATTAGAGCAAGCATGTCTATGAAATTTAATGTTGTTCAATTCAGCATTCATTTATAAAGCTCATTCCATGTATATATTATGGTCCTGAACTCTGTGGATATAAAAATAAATTAGAAATGATCTCTACCTTGGAGCAGCTAACAAAGACAGGTCTACAAAGAGAGATTTGAAAACAGCTACCTGTACTGAAGAGTTATAGGTGCCACGATATAAATCTGTACCAAGTGTAATGATAGCACAAAGGGGTGAGGGTCAGTTCTACCTGAGTAAGGGGTGTGGATCAGTAAAAGTCTAATGGAATATTTTCATCATAACGTGAAAGAGAAGGACTGCATCATAATACCTTCCCCAGTTATCTGTAAAACCGAATTTTAAGGAAGTCAAGTGAATGTGAGTCAAATGTTACGTCAATAAATTAGTGGCTTATTTGATCTCTTCTGAGCCTAAATGGCTCATTATTTATGGGGAAATAGCCCTGTAGCCAGAGGCTTTGGATTTTAGTCGTCAGCTACTGGACCTTAGACAAATCATTCTACCTTTCTAGGCTTCTTTTTAATCAAATGCCAGCACTAGCTACACGCCACTGATGCTCTCTTAATGCAGAACTAATAAATGCTATGAATCTCTAAAACCTCTACTTTTGTGTCAAGTGAAAAAGATCTGAAACCAAAGAAAAACATGGAGGCTTTGTACCAAAGGGCTGTCAGTCCAGTTAATTCAGAAGGTAATGAACTCACCACGTCTGGAAGTGGTGGGGGTGGGGGGTCTCTCACCTCACACTAGTCAAGCTCTTGATTTTAGTGTTTAATTCAGGCAAAAACATTTAAACTAGGGGTGTGTTTATTATACAACGTGCATTTATAAAGTGAAATAGATACTAAAACAATTTCCATATTAAATCAGTTATTCTCAGTACTGGCTGCACAGTAGAATTACCCAAGAAGGTTTTAGAAAATACAGGCGCCTGGACTTCACAGTGGACTTCCTGAGTGTGATTTTCCAGCAGAAGTTAAGTGGATGGAGCCCATGCAGTTGCTGTGTTTAGTTTTTGTTTTGTTTTAAGCTCCCTAAGTGCTTTAGATACTGAGAGCTGTTGAATTAAATCAAAATAAACAACTAATCTTAATTTTTAAAGGACTGGAACTAGAGAAGCTGTATGGAGGAATGGGAACAGCCAACTAGAGATGGTTTCAGCTCTCACCTCACACAGTGACACCGCTCATCTTAGGTGGACCCAAATGTTCATTCATTTCAACCTCTTTATTTAAACTGCTTCTTTTTTTCAATGGTCTTTATCCACTCTATTTCTCAGTTTTATTTTTAACACCAGTTTAATCATAGACAATATTGAACCAAATGTTGTAACAAGTTCAGGCCAGTGTTTACCAACTAGACCCAAAGTTTTATTTAGGAGTAAAATTAGCCACAATCATTAAAAAAAAATAAAAAAGTAAGGAAAACATTCACCACTTTATAATCAATAGGTGATTAGGAAAAATTAGATATATGTATCTGAGTATTGCCAAGTAGCATATATCTCATATAATTAAGGAACAGTAGCTATTAAGCTTTAGTGTGGAGGTGTTTTAACTTCTTCAGTCATTTCGATAATCTGCCAGCTTTTCTGGGTCAAGTGAAACTAGTTAAGGAATGTGTTATAACTGACAGAAAAATCCCACATCCAAGCTCAGTATTTTAAGCAGTAACAGAGGACATGAGAGCTAGGTGACAGTTTTACACTTCAAGGTTAAGGCAGGAGATCTCAAGGCTTGTTGAAATATATTTTTTTCAAGGGCATTTTCTCCAACTTTTCCTACACAAACAACACTCATTACTCTTGGTAAATAGCTGACATTAGTGACACCAGATGTTGTAGAGTGGCCAATTTTCAGTGAGCTCCAAGAGGCTCCATTTGGAAGGTGTATGATCTTAGTGGGGGGCATGGGGGTGGTGGGAAGCCTTCCACATTTCGAAACTGCAGAGTGCAAGGTACAGTACAAGATTCTTCCTACCTCATTTGGGCTTAGTTCTGTAGAGCACTTTTGGTCAAAAGTAGTGCATTAGAAATGTTGAGTACAGGCAGAAACGCATTCCTTCTACCTTATGGTTTTAGAATGATAGATCATTAAATTAAAAGCATACTTCTTTAGTTACCTCTTGTCCCTAATCCAGAGTAAGAAATTCAGAATAGGAGGAATGGAAATAAAATCTCAAAATAGCAATCTCCCATCATGCACCTCTGAAGTTTACACATATTTAGGAGAAAGTTAATTTCTTCTTCAGTCTAATGAAAAAAGTGACACAGAATGGGCCAGATCCTTTGGCTGAAGACACCATAGCAGTCATGCCCCTGGAAATAGTATAGGGTGGTAATGCAGCCAAACCATCTGAGAGACATTTCTTTTGTCTACTACTTACTAGCTGTATGAATCTTGTATGAGTTACCTAATGCCTTTAAGCCTCAGTCTTTTAATCTTTAAAGAGGAAACATTTAGTAAGGGTATTAAATGAGTTAATACACAAAAGTATTGCTCACACATGCTAAATGTCAATGAGTATTAGCTGTTTTCATAATTGACCTATTCAGGCCTCAGGGTCCTCCTATATTTAAAACAAAATAAGATTAAAACTAAACAGTGTCCCCCAAATTTTACTGATGATAGCAATCACCACAGACATTTAATAAAAGATGCCTTCCCAGGACCTTTCTCTTAAGATTCTGATCAGTGAATCTCAGATAGAGCTAGGGATTTGTATTTTTGCACTGTGTGACTTTTTTTTTGTGAAGGAAATTTCAGAAAACACTGATCTAGATCATTTATTTATTTAATCATCTAAATATTAATCCATCCATTCATTCAACAGATAGGTAGCATTTGCCAGGCACCATCCTAGGTTCCAGAAAATGCAGTGGGAAGCCAAGTGCTTCCTGTTTGGAGCTTAGGAACCTAGTAGAGGATATTAGGCAAAAACCACACCCACACAATTTCTATGTAACCACAATTGTGAAGTGTGCTGTAAAGAAAACACACAGGTATTTTGAGAACTGTTAATAGGGGAACTTTTCTACTCTTGGTGGGACAGATGGAGAAGGAAGCTGATGAAGACCTGCCTGAAGGAGCAATAGCGAGGGCTCCTTTGCACTCTGATACCGTGTCCCCCGCACACCTTACCTGCCAAGAGGAGAAGAAGGATGCCGGGCTGAGGAGGTCAGGGTGGGCGGGGTGGCGCCCTCCCAGGTACTCATCTGTGCAAATGTCACAGTTTTCAGCGTCTCGCCAGTCCCAGTATGGAATAGTGAAGTTCTCATCCCCTGTCAGCTTCTGGATTTCTTGTTCCCACAGCAGCAAGAAGAGTCTATGCCAAGGCAGGAAACCTGGTGCTTCGTGAGCAAAATCAATGTTCCTCCAGACTCCAGACCCCCCAAGCAGTGTGTCCCTGGACACATAGTAATGAGTCCACACAAAGAGGTCATAAATGTTGATGTCTTTAAACATGGGTGTCGATCCGTTATTCATTTGGCTGGAGGTGCCTGTGGGGATGACGTAGTCTGGGCTGGTAGTATGCTTTGCTAAGGTGAGGTAGGCGAGAAATTTGTTCCTCTCTGGAACGCTCAGATCGAAGATGTTTCTTCTGACCAAGAGCCGCTCCTCTGTGCAGTTTGGTCCCCCAAAGCCAAACTTGCAGTTTCCACAGTCGAACCCCATGAAATTGCCGAAACACTGGCAGCTCCTGTTATAGAAGACAGAGGGCCAAGACTCCCGGTCGTCCACCCCGGAGAAGGGAAACTGAGGGCCCAGGGGCGCATGGGACAGAACTATGTCCTGGCAGGAGCCCCGGCCCGAGTGCTGGCCGCAGGGACTCCCGTCGCCCCTCCACGGCGGGCAGCACTCCTTC